CACACAGACTGTGAGTGGTCTGTGCGCAACAGTGAGCAATATGAACGCGGATCGCCCCTTAATTCTGTGTTGTGTGTCTTGATGCCACGTGAGTGAGTGGGTGGGAGTTACAGTACTTCCTCAACCATCCATAGACGCCGCGTGCTAGTCCGCAACGCATCCTACAGTGACCGAGCTCACGTGTAGTTTTCACGTCTGCGGGTGCATCACGTGGTTCGTTGTTTGAGCGCAGTCTAACCGCTGCATCAACCGATGCAGATGTTCTGAGTACGCTTGCACTGGTTTGCAATAGGTCAAGACAATGAGCACGCATTTGTTCGTGTGCGCCACTTTAGATTCAGCTTGATGTGTTTGTGGCTTCAGTTGAATATTCCTAAGGTGGAGCTTGGTTCAGTTATGCATTGAAATGAGTCCTATATTTATTCATAACTGCATTCTGGATGCCGGGTTGGGAAAACCCGTGTCAGACAATTTCATTTCGTTCGCGACTGGTGACCTTCCCTTTTTCCATCGAGCGCTTACTCTGCTCACATTTCAGCCTACTTTGATAGGCTTCTTCAGTTGTCTTGTCTTTATGCGCTCACATCGTCGTTGTTGTCCATCTAAAAGCATCCGCAAGTCAGCGCGCATAACTGCATTTTCGGTGTCCATACTTGCGGCAACTGCAGATTATGGTCCATTACATTGATATTGCGCGTCGCAATCCAATCACACAGCGTGTAGTCCAAACGTGACCCTTGAATTAGTCATTTACCGTTGTGCCAAAAGTTGTACGGCTTAACTCGTTAGCTAAATGTGTAGAGGTTTCGGCTACTATTCCAATGGTAGGGGTTTCGAGACCTGCGGTCTCCACCTGATGAGAAGAAATTCCATCAAATCGCGTCGTGGTTGTGCAGTATTTTCGGGCTGGAACCACCCAAATTCCGTTGCATTTTTTGCTTTTTCTATAAAACCGCGCTCCATTAAACAAAAAGGAGTAGGCTGGGGAATCCGTTTTCACTCTTCTGAAAAAAACTGTAAAAGTGAAAAGCGTCGAATCGTGTCATGAACCATTTTGTCATCCTCCTTATTAGGAATTGAAATGCCTATTTATTTTGGTTGTGTTAAAGATGAACAATGACACAGCAGAATGCACCGCTAAAGATGTGTCCTCCGTTGCTTAGTTTAGGATGTCATGTTCAAATAGGACATTAAGGTGTATACCTCACACGCGAGCTCCAGGTGAGCATTTCGTTCGACATTATCTGTATTAGGCTTAGAAAGATGAAAACCAAAACAGGCTCCATGATCTACCCCATTTTGATTAGTATGCTGATAATAATTGAGCTTTGCGCAGTTTTCTGTTTCGTTGAATAAGATTTGATACCTAGCTACCGCATATTAGTGCAATTTACCACTGTCTCTTTTTAACATGCTCAATACCGATTTTTTTTGCTTAATCAATTGTAGCCAAATATTGAGGGAAAATATAAATCAGCATTGCCAAAAATAGAGTATTTCCTTACTCAAAGTGCACTGTACTTTGCACCACAGTATCTCATAGAATCACTAAATTACACAAAGCACGATGACAAACAACTGATAGTCAGAAGTGTCCAACCTATTGTGACCGTTTTAGCTCTCTTTTTGGGTAACGGATGGACGCCTAACAAGCAACAGCTGCACCCTGTGCGAGGTGTCGTCAGTGAACTGCTGTATGTGCAGAGCAACAACGTGCATCCATACTTGTGCAACAACGCAAAGGTAATTTTTGTGTCACAAAGAAATGAGCACCGTAACTCAAAACATGCACGTAGTCCACGCGTCAATACTGTCTGTTATAATTATGTGAGGTCCATTGCAGCCAGTTTCCAAATCAGATAATCCTCCACATGCCCGGAAAAGCACTTTACTGCAGTTTCAGCCTGTTGGGCATGTCAGTAGTGCGCATCCATCGGATCCGTCAGGATTCGAAACCATGACCACCAGCGGCTTGAACCGCCAGTAAGCAGCTTATGCCACTGGGCCACCGGGGGACAGCTTCGGACCGTAATGATTTACAAGCTAACTGCGATATAGCGCGTCTGTCTTTTATAAGCCAATTTATTTTATAAATGTCGTCTCAACGTGAACAGGCGCAGACGAGTTTTACCAACTTCCTTAACCGCCTGAGACGACAGAAAAAACACACGTGATGACTGGCCACTGCGTACCATACGAGAAGATGAATTGAAGTATGAAATTACCAAAATATAACAACAAATGTTAAACTGTATGATTAAATCGAATCCTACACTTAAGTTTATGTTATTTTGCATAACAAGTCGGTTCATCACCAACCAGGATTAAGTATTGAATTTAAATCCATTTCAAAGTGAAATTTCTTTGAGTGGTTAAATCTTTCCACCCACCTAAACTAGACGCATGCCATAAAACACATCCGGATGACTCCACTAGCAACAACAATGTTTTACCAAAACCTGCGCGTTAACGTAAAGATTATCTGATAATGATGATATGAATGTTTGATCCCTGGAGTTTAATATTGTTTACAACGATTTAGCTCAATATACTGTGCATATGATGCCGAACATCATTATCAGACCGTAGGCTGCTACCCGTAATTTTTCCTCCATGTTCGAAGGTCTAAACTCTCTTGGATAACTTGCCATGATAACTGAAACTACGGCTCGATAAGTCATGTACAACGTTTAGTGGTAGGAAAATGTCATGTTTTGATCCATTTAAGTAGTATAAAAGGAGTTATTGCGTGTGAAAACTAGTTAACAGAGTTCGCCCACTACTTTTTATTCAGTCTAATTGGAGTCCGTGAGGGACCAATTGCTGATTGAAATGTGTTCACTTGTTTTCTATTGTCGGGGAGCTTCTGGAAAAGTTAGCGTTGTGTCACACTCAGTGCCAGAGCTGAAGCCGCCCACATTGCTTGGATTCTAATCAATAGTCGCCTTTGCGCTGAGACCCCGTGGCTCTTGCAAGGTTAGCAGACACCGAGAAGACAAGCTTGCTCATTTCGTTATCGGCGCACACGAGCTCGCTTACCGAAGCTGGGCTACAACCATGGACCAGTTCTATCAACACATTCATGAGCTGCTCCCAAGGAAGCCTAAAATAAATTATTAGTATTATTATTATTATTGTTATGGCAGGTTAGTTAAATACAAGTATCAGTTGGATGCTTCTATGTGTGCCACCGCGGTGGACCGCATGGCTACGGTTATACTCCCTCTAACAATGGAAGTCGATTACTCAGCCTAGGTGCGGACCATCCGTATTTACTGTCCAGGATGAGATATGTCATTCTGGATGCCAGTATGCCACTTGGTATCCACCATTGTCAACCTAGTGTTGTTCACAAATTGATACATAGGAGGTCGCAAACGAAGTGGCAGAGTACGCGAGTGCAGACAATTTTGGTCAACGTGCGTTGAAACCGATCGTGACATGATGTGTGCGACGGTTTGCATGCTATTCGCTGGCTCACCTAGGGCCAAGGAAACCCAAATGAACACCCACAAGCTGGAGAAAATATCGGTGAAATCGCAATATCGACAGAGGCTTTGTGAAAGCCACATTTTCTCCTGTTCTCCGGATGTCGATCAACACTTGCCAAGTTTACAACAGGCAAAGCAATCCGGCGGTTTATTCCGCTGCGGCTTCACGCACTACGACCAAGAGCTGGATCGCGGTTAGATGCTAGGAACTGCCAGATTGTCAATAGTCACTGCCCAACTGTACGGAGTAATATGAAATCCAGTGGCCTATCTTTCAACTGCTGAAGTCAAGCCGAATCTCTGACAGTGAATTCTGGTAGTCAAAACGAGCTGCTGAGGTGCAAACCGCAGCATCCGATGGAAACGTCCCCAGTATAGTTTACCGCATCAGGATCAACGGTCACAGTTCACATGTTGTCAGTCAGACACAGGCGTTTGGGATGCTGGATAGACCCCTTTGCTTTCGTACTTAACTATCCAATGCAGACCAATACGACACCTCCGTTTCCGTCGGTTGGTGCTTGGCCTGCCCTCACGGATCCTCCTATGGACGCAGAGATCCGAGGTGCTATCTAAAGTTTGAAACTTAAAGCATTGAGTTCTTCGTATCATTCTAAAAAAAATAATGGGAAGACTGGTATTGTAAGCTAAAGCCATTTCGTGTTATCTGAGCACTCGCAAACTAACAATATAAATATGTATCCCGTGACGGAAAATCGAAGGTTTGAACTTGGTCACAAAGGGAAATTACGTAGACGCAAGCATAATAGATCGACGAACTTGATCTTAGGGTCATGAGTCCCAATGAAAGTTTAGGGAGATTGTCAAATGATTCTGTACACGAAGGATAGGTCGATACGGGTTAAGTGCCACAGGTTCGGCGAGCCGCAGAACTCTGGGGTTTTCATTTCTATAGATAACGGTGCATGTTGACCCAGGTGCAACCCGCTGGCCTGTTTCGATTAGATGTCTGGCGCTAGAAGATGCGGGCAGCGTAGATACATGTTCCTGTTCGGCTGCTTGTTTTGTCAATAGTTTGGAAATCCTTGTAGAGACATGCTCTTTAATGTGCCAACTCAAAGCTCCATCTGTTCTGACAATGTAACTAGTTCCGTAGTTAAAACGATTTGGTAAATACAATGGGTTGTGGCACTGATCGATTGGGTATGCTTCACTGGAAGCATAGGCAAATTCCTAGTCTCCCAAATGGGTCAGAATTTGTTGGCATTGAATGTCTGGCGAATCGCTGCACGCAAATGACTTTCAAGTTGGGCTGTCATGGTATCACCTATGAAGGGTAATTGAAAGTACACAGACAGTTTGAGCACAGTAAGTACCCTTTGGCCTGTTTTACTTCAATTGACTTTGAAATCGAACATAAGTCTCTGGATATTTGTTGGCCCTTAGCGTATGTGGGATGAACAGCTATTCCGGTTCCGTAAAGTCGTCAGTGCATATTCTGCGGGTTTGATTAAACAACGTTTCGACTAAGCACCGATTGTATTGGATAAAAGCAAAGCTGTTAAATTGTTCATACAATTCTGTCCAAGGAGCTTTCAGGTGAACAGAACGATTTATGGAGCCGTCTTCTCGCCTGGTCAACAATACATCTAAAAACGGAAGTCAAATGTTACCCTCCAGTTCACAAGTGTAATAAGCATTTGGATGTGCGTTATCGATCACCTTGAAAAGGGATAGAACCGTGTTTCCACTTAGGGCGATCACTGGTGTGTCATCTACGTATTGCCTGTATTAATAGACTTGGTTGATGTGCGCCTCACATCTTAAAGCTCCTGGCATTGGCACTCTTCCTGCTGCTCTATTCTAAGGTAACGGGAATACGCTTATCAGCAAAATGCTGCTATTGTTCACGAAGGTTTATCTTATGAGTAATTCACAATTGTATGGTGAGTGTTGGTCATTTTCCCTTGCACAAGTAAGGCTCCCGCAAAGATTGCGCAATATACGGAGGAATTCCTCTGATCTTTGTTACGTCTAAGAGTTTCCGATATGTTATTACAAAATTTCCGTGATTAGAAAAGATGTGTTTTCCTTAAGAAACTACCCGGATTTCTTCCTGACGTAAGTCACATCGACCAAATGTTTAAACTCAGCCAACATTTTGGACTAAAACAAGTTTAGAGACGGCCAATAATCATGGTGTATTTGGACATCCTAGCAGACTTTGATTCAGTAGGTTGGTCTGCATTGTGGAGCCGGCTACTGAGGAAACGTGTGCCAGAAAAGTTTGTAAATATTCTAAAGAAAGCTTACTGCCACACGTCGGACAAAGTCAGTGCTTACAGCTGCCTCTACTTTTCGTTTTCTGTCACCAGCAGCGTTAGTCTAGGATGCCTTATTTCATCTTGCCCCTTCAACTTTTCTATTGAAGATATCTTCCAAAGAACAATGAAGGACATCCAAAACTTCGGTATCGAGCTTCTCCTAGGTGACAGTGTTGCAGACTTGGACTACGCCAATGCTATTGCTTTTCATCGGACGATCCACAAACCTTCCGGTGCGCTTTGAACCGCTTAGCGATGGAAACGTCCAAGTTTGGCCTATATTTCAGCCAACGCAAGTACAAAATATTACTCCAGAATTGATATATGCCTATGCCCGCCCATGCCATTGTAAGTAACGTCTTTGAACGAGTCCCCTGCTTAACTCAT